GGCGTTAAGGCTACTGTCTGGGAGCTTTCCAAGAAAAGAAGGTGCTGTCTCTTATACACATCTTTTATATACAAGTTGAAAATTTTGTATGTAAAATTTTTAGTTCTCAACAAAGTGGATTTTAAGACGATTAATGAATATGTTAAAATTAAAAATGAGTTCGTCTCGTATTTCATATCCTAGATATGTGGGAAAGAGTTGCACACTGTGAATTTTAATGAGTTTGTCCTGGCGAAAGCATGATTGAATTTAAGTTGGTCTGTGACTGTGATTAATATTAATGACTTAAATAGGTTGATGTTTAGATGGACATACATGTATTTAGCAGTAAGTGTTAAAATAATAATTTGAAGTCTATGTTCAAATTACAATAACTTCATTTCAATAAGTCTTTCATAGTTGGATAGTGTTGATGAAGAAAGATTGCATGTTTTAGTCATGCGGCATTGTACTTGTTCGAGTGATGTGATGTGCTTTTTAAGGTGTGGTGTCCAAGCTGGCAAACCGTATTCAAGTATGGGTCTTACAAGGGCTGAGTTTATTTTTGCTTAATACAAACGTATCTCTGCTTTGTACGATACGCTTTATAAGCCTAAACGTCTTACTGGATTTTGATTTAGTTACCAGTACATGATCACTCCAATCGAATTTCAAATTATTGGTAATACATAAATATTTACAAGCTGATACAACTTGCACCTCTTTTCAATGGATGATATAGTTATAAGCCTCATTATAAAATCTAACTGAACTTGTGATATGCATTTGATTGCATTTTTTAGTATTCAGACTCATCTTGTTTATCGTGCACCAAGTAAGAAAATGGTGTTATCATTTTTTAAATTTTTATTTCAACCATCTTTAAATAGGGTAACACTTCCAGTTTAGCCTAGTAGGTTAACTGATATTCAGAGGCCCTCTTTATTAAAATTTAAAAAACAGTACATACAACATCATTAAAACATAATAATAATAATAATAATAATAATAACAATAATAATAACAATAATAACAATAATAACGTACAATCCTCATAAAAAGACTTACATAAAGACATAATTCAAAACAGAAGTTTAACTTATAATGCCTAATATATTATAATATAATATAATATAGTATAATATAGAATAAAATCAAACAATGTATTAATAAGAATAGCTGAATAAAACAGCAATAAACAATGGCTAAGAGTTTAAAATATATCGTTTTAACTTAAGTTTAAATGTATTTTCTATTTTGCAGTCCCGGAGCTCAATGGTAAATTATTATAAAAATTAGGGCAAAGATAACTAAATGCACGTTTAAAACATTCCAAATTGACTTTAGGACAAGCTAAGTCACCTCTGGTTAAAGCTCGCGTTCTTATAGCTCGGGCAGGGACTCTAGAAATTTTCTCCACAAGGTAACTAGGAGCAAAGTTGTTGATAACTTTAAAAGTAAGGCAGCCGACCTGATATCGCACCCTTTGAGATACACATATTAAGTTGTAGTGTAGTGGAGGTGCTTTAATTATGATTCTCATGGCCCGATTTTGCAATTTCTGAATTTTGTCGGTGTTATGCAAGCTGCTTTTACCCCCACAAGAGGGCACCGTTGTCAATATGTGGGAGAATTAGTGTATTATATAATAAGAGTGCTGTGCGAGCGTCAATACATGTTCTTATTCTGGATTCTGAATTTTATGTGCAAGTTTGGAGCTAAGTTTGCTGACATGTGAATGCCAGTCAAGCTAATTGTCAATATAAACACCAAGGTGCTTGTGCATAGTAACTTTTTTAATCCGTTTGCCAGCAAAAGATACGTCAATTTCTTTATTTTTTAGCCGCTGAGGTGTGCCAATTAACATCACCTCAGTTTTGTCAATGTTAAGAGTTAGATATTGGAAATAAGCCAGGTATGGATAGTGTCTATGTCTTCAGATAACCTGTTGTTAATAATATCAATGTTAGAGTGAGAATAATAAAGTGAGGTGTCATCAGCATAGAAGTCAACAGTGCTGTGTTTAGTAGCAGGGGCCAAGTCGTTAAATTAAGTGTCGTCATTAGGTGACCGCATGGATCTATATAAAAGGGTATCATCAGCAAATTGAAGCAAGTGAGAGTTTACAATTGTTAGAAGATCTGGCATAAATATGTTAAGGATTTGTCTAAAGACCAACCCTAGTGGGACACCGGGTAATACCGGACGTGAATTTGATGAAGCCCCTCCGAACTTTATAATTTGGGTCTGTTAGAGAGGAAGGAATAAATCCAATTTCACAAGGGACCACACACTCCACTTGTGCAGTTCCTCCAACAGTTTAGCATGGCTTACGCTATCAAATGCCTTACTTTAATCTAAAAATAAAGCATCAATGTAAGGTGGCCTACGCTCATCAAGTATGTGAGCCCAGTCGTATATAACTTTTTTTAAGTGTAGTGCAGGATCTGCTAGAGACAAATCCGTGTTGAGAATCACTGATAAAGCCAAATGTTGACAAATGAGAATTTAAGTGCTTAGATACAATTTTTTTCAAGAATCTTTCCAACCACTAAGGAGGCTGTTGTTGGTCCGACATTGATCAGAGTGGTTAATGTTATCACTTTGTATCAAAATAGTAATTTTTAAAAGAAAAAAACATCATTGAAAGCCTGTGAAATCTGTTTTGGGTCACTTTGTACCCATTTATATTAAAAACTGTACATCAGTTGTGGGGTTAGCTCGTGGACCTTGCACAATGCCCAGAAGGCTTTGCCGTTGTCATCACAATCATGTGCTAAAATACTATTTGAATGCAGTGCTGCTTTATATAATCTGTTCTTTTTTCTACTGAGACGTAGCACCTCAATAGTAATCCATGGTTTTTGGGGACATTTCTTTGCTTTTCTGTTAGGGACAGCTTTATTAATGTTCTTAAGAAAAATCAATTTAAAATTGTCCAAAGCAGAGTTAACATCATTTGTCTTATAACAAGTGTCCCATGATATACTGAAAAAATATTTATAAAGTTCAGGGCGTTGTAACAAGCATGTTTGAACTGATATTTATAAATGAATTACTATATGTTTCCAAAATGCACAATAAACAAGCAGTAAAAATGGTAGTCGATGCTGCTATCCTGTCACCAATTGTTCCAGTTATAAGGTTATTAGTAATATTATTTCAATTTAATTCTTTATAATGCTGTTATTATTATTGCTATGTGAGTGTAATGAAAAAGGAAACAAATCAAACGATTCAAAACGCTTTCATTTCATTTCTTTTTTTTGTCTTCCAACAAACATTCAAGGGCACAAGAAAAAAAAAACAACATACAAATAGTCAGAAAATGAGAAATCTTTAACAACCCGACGGGATAACCAAAAAGCAAAACAACTCATTGTGAGTGGCTCTACAAAGTTGAAAACAATACATGAAAACACTTTAAAATATACGTAAAATTTTTGAAAAATTTTGGCATATTTTACATAAAAAATTAGGGCCCGGTTGATTTTGGGCGGAGTTAACTTCCCGGGGCAGAGTTGACTTGTGGATCAGATTACGCCGTGTCGACGTATAACAGATTGTTGTGTTTGAAAGATTCGCACTTGACAGTTATACTAAATATATAATCAAATAATAAACTAATTAACATAAAATCAATCAATATTTTCTTATGTTTTCATTTCAATGCATTTGCTCATTCTTTCCATAAAATTAAAGTTAAAACCACTTGTTGACTACCACTCAATAATAGAATCATCTTAAAAATCCTGCTCATAGGCAGATGGCCATATGACATCAGAATTCGTCACTGACATCAGATTTATCCAAAAAAATTTGGGTAACAATTAAAAAAATGTGTCATCAAACACGTCATTCGATAGATAATTTTACTAGTTTTCGGTTGATACCAAATATTCAAACTGAAACTTTTAGAGACGGACTAGCTTTAAAAAATGAGTAAAATTTGTCATTTTTGGGTCAAATTTGGCCCTAAAATGCAAAATTCAGCGTGAAAACAGCTGATTCCGTGTGAGCCAACAGCTCGTGAGGAGGAATCACCTTGGTGCCAGCTTGTAAGAAATGATGCCTACAAAAACCTTTGTTTGAGCACTTTCAATCTGATGGCCACCCGTCTACCATAACCTTTAAAGCAATGTTCTCTGGTGAATGCTCCATCTTTCTGGTACTGGTACTAGTACTGGTATTGGGTATTTATATTGCCCCTTTCCCTTGCGGTTATGAAGCGCAAGCCAAGCCTTAATAATTCAGGAAAACAATGGTAGGCATAACATCATTCATTATTCAGGAACCATATGCATTACAATTGTACAGTCACACAAGCAACAAAGACAAATAAACAGATTACAACAATAAAAACACAAAAGGAAAAAGCAGCAAAAAGAGGCTTAGGCAAACTTATATCAAATTTTTATTTCAAAAAACTTTTCCATAATGCAACTTATTTCAAATCGTAACCCTTCACGGAAATTACCCTCCTCATCACAGTTCTTACTTACAATCCTAAAGGTCAATACTCTATTTTATGGTCAAACATCGTTTTCTTTTGCTTCTACCACTCTGTGGAATAAACTGCCTGAACAATTCAAATAAAGCTTCCACACTTGGGAACTTAAAGGCTTTACTTAAAACTCATGATCTTTCATTGCCCTTTTCTTCTCACATTTTTTTGTTTTCTCCTTTAGTGTTTGTGTGAGTTTGTGTTTGTGGTTGCAAAGCGCATTAAAGCGTAACATTGTCGCGCTATATAAGTATAACTTATTATTTTTATTAATTTTGATAATATGTTACATATATTTAACGGTAAACTGATTTTTACTGTATTATAAATTTTTACCATGGTGTTCCGTATTAATTTTACATATTGTAAATTGTATTATATTTTATGTCAAGAGGTTCTCACTTTTGTGTTGGGCCCCTCTGTCAATAGTTTCCTCTTGGACAGTTTTGTCGAATTTTTAATAAATAAATAAATAATGAAACTAGTTGGTAACTAACTAACGTATATCTTATAACAGTAGTGCCACGGAGCATGTATTGTGCTGGTAAATTGGTAGTCAAAACAGACAGTTCGGAAACATTTACAGAAGGTGTGAAAGCAACGTTAACCTGCACATTCTCACCAGCCCAAGCAGAGGTTGATATAAGCTGGTATAGAACAGCTGAAATTGGTTTTGAATCCATAATTGAGAGAGACGTCGTTGAAGAAGAATATAGGGAAAGGTTTTCCCTCGAATATAAGGGAACTTCGCAAAGAGGTGGTAATGGCAATTTATTGATAGATCCTGTAAGACGGGAGGATAAACGCAAATACAGCTGCAGAATATATAATAAAGAGGATGGAACTGAAGACGGCAACGTCGATTTAGATGTCCAGTGTAAGTACCTTTCTTTAAAATTTGATCTCTTACTAAGTATGTTTTGATATTTTTGCTTAATTTTAATATATTCATCATGTCTTTAGAAATGGAATTTGTACTTCATCGGATTAGTATGAAACACGATTACAGGCATCCCGTTATCACTATGTTCTAACGCTTCAGATATTACAATAATGATAATAATAATAATAATAATAATAATAATAATAATAATAATAATATTAATAGTAACAATAATAGGGCCTAATAATAATAATAATAATAATAATAATAATTAATAATGGTAATAATGCTATAATGTTGATATTATTATTATTATTATTATTATTATTATTATTATTATTATTAATATTATTATTATTATTAATCCAGTTAAGTTTTGATGAAATACATACATACTTCCTGAGTAAACAAATATGTAGATCTTTTGATAATGGACGTAAATTGATGAAAAACACAAAAACATTAAGAAAAAAAAAACAAGAATTTAATGGTAAACATGTTTCAGGTGTTACTCTTCAGCCCATCTTCAGTAAAAGATGTAGATTTTAGAAATTATTTATATACAGTATATTTCGGTCGCAACTGACAGTGCCAACTCGACCGCGGACCGACTTCATCGGTTCAACCATGTCGCAAATTCTGGCCGGCAGACTGGAAGCAGGCCGGAATGCGTACAAGCCCGATTGATGGGTTTGCCACTTGAGGCTATTGATGCTAGAAGTAAGATGCAGATTTATGTGTTAAAAAATAAAAATTGTGAAAAATAATAAAATATGAAAAAAATGTATTCTGTAGATGCACAAATAATAACAAGTTAATAATAATAACAGAACATAAAAAAAAAATACAAGAACCCTATAATTTTTATTAATTTTACACATAATTTGTGCACCTTTACCACTCCGCTACACTTGATAAATCTCTGGTAATATTAGACCCCTATAATACAACAAAACAACTAGCGGATCGAGCGAATCGACTACAATAGAAACCCTATTAAGGGGACACCTTCGGGACCAAAAAAAAAAAGGTGTTAATAGGGGTGTTCACAAACCGAAAACATAAAATTGTCCCCTTATTAGGGTTTTTGGCTTGTGTTCATACAATGATGACATACATTCTTTATAATTTTATTTTTATTGACATAGAATCAGTTACAGTAGAATAAGAACTACTTTATAGCAATAATTTGAAATGCAAATACAATTAATTTATAATAAGAAACTAACATAAATGTAATTACAACAATAATAGCTAAATATGTTCCCAATATTGTTTCATGTTGATTCTTTATTAAATATTCTTTTTTTAAATATTGAGCTTTCTATTAAATGATCAAATAATCGCTTTAATTAGATTAATTGTTCTCTGCGCCTTTGATAATGTTTTCAAATTGGCGGGTTATAAATTTCTGCATATTATTATTATTATTATTATTATTATTGT